CTCTATCCATTGAGCCAAACCGGTTTTGGCTTGTTGTTTTATTTTTATTTGTATTGTTTTTTTTTAGAGAGGAATGTAGAGGGTTAGAAAGATAGAAACATGGGTGAGAGAGAAACACCATTGATTGTCTGCCTCCTGCACACCCTCTACAGAGGCCTGAGCACAAAATCTAGGCATGTGCCTGACCAGGAATTGAACTGGTAACCTCTTGGTTCCTGGGCCACTGGTAACCACTGTGACACAACAACTGGGCTATTGTTCCACTTATTAATGCATTCATTGGTTGCTTCTTGTATGTGCTGTGACAGGAGATTGAATCTGCAACCTTGGTGTATCAGAAAGACACTAACCAACTGAGCTACTTAACTAGGAATTCTTGTTCATATTTTAAAAATATTTTCTCCCCTTTTTCTTAAAGAAGATCCTTCAACATAATCCTGGTTTGTTGGTGATGAACTCCTTTTACTTTTTCTTGTTTGGAAAGCTCTTTATATGTTCTTTGATTCTAAATTATAGCTTTGCTGGTTACAATAATCTTGGTTGTAGTGCCTTGCTTTTCAGCACTTTGTATATTTCATGCCAATCCCTTCTGGCATGCAAAGTTTCTGTTGAGAAATCAGTTGACAATCTTATGGGACCTCTCTTGTAGGTAACTAACTGCTTTTCTCTTGCTGCTTTTAAAATTCTCTATTTGTCTTTGACCTTTGGCATTTTAATTATGATGTGGACATCTTTGGGTTTATTTTGTTTGGGACTCCGTGCTTTCTGGACTTGTATGTTTCTTTCCTTCACCAAGATAGGGAACTTTTCTGTCATTTTTTCAAATAAGTTTTCAGTTTCTTGCTCTCTTTTTTCTTCTGGCACCCCCATGATGTATATGTTGGTATGCTTGAAGTTGTCCCAGAAGCTCCTTACACTAACTTCATTTTTTAAATGATTATTTTCTTTTTGCTCTTCTAATGGGGTGTTTTTGCTTCCTTACATGCCAAATTGCTGATTTCTCAGCTTTATATACTCCACTGTTGATTTCTGGTAAATTATTCTTAATTTCAATTAGTGTATCCTTCATTTTTGACTGGTTGTTTTTTATGGTTTCCCTGTGTGTTTTTTTAATGCATTTGAAGTTATATCTAAGTTCAACTATTCTTTCCCTAAGTTCCTTGAGCATCCCTATAACCATTGTTTTGAACTCTGCATCTAGTAGATTGCTTATCTGCATTTTATTTAGTTACTAGTGGCCCAATGCACGAAATTCGTGCAAGAGTAGGCCTTCCTTCCCCTGGGTGCCGGCACCAGCTTCCCTCTGGTACCTGGGACCCGGGCTTCCCGCTGTCACCCAGGATATGGGCTTCCTTTCAGCTGCCAGCAGGCATCCAGGATCCAGGCTTCCCTCACAGCCCTGGCTTCATCTGCAAGATTGTCCGAAAGGATGTCCTGTCTAATTAGCATTTTATGCTCTTCTTATTATAGGTTTTTGTGGAGTTTTGTTCTGTTCTTTCATTTTGAATCTGTTTCTTTATCTCCTCATTTGGCAGCCTCTCTGTGTTTGTTTTTGTGAATCAGGTAGAGCTGCTGTGTCTTCTGAGCTTGGTAAATTGGCCTAACGTAGTAGGAATTCTGTAGGGTCCAGTGGCACAGCCTCCCCACCACCAAGTAGGGCACTCCAGGTGCACTCCTCTTTGGGGCTGTGAACACCCTCTTGTGGTAGTTGAGCCTTGATTGCTGTTGGCATGGCAAGGAGAGGGACTTACCTCCTGGCCAACTGGCTGCAAGCACTGGCTGCTACCTTGTGAAGGATCATCTGTGCAAGGGCACACCCTATAGAGCAGGACTTTGGTGCCTGTTGAGTCCACACCTTGAGTGTGTCGTTTGAGGAGGTGGTTGCATGGTGCTTTAACATGGTATGAAGTGTGTGCTGGCTCTGAGGCCTCCCAGGAGGTGCAGTCCAAGGTCAGTTGACACCTGTTTTCTGCCTGCAGCTTCCTGACATGAACTGTAAAGTGACCTGCAGATGGCTGCTACTTGTGCTGAGTTTGGAGTTGCCCAGGAGAGGGCAAACTGTGAAACAAATCTGGCTCCTGCTAGTGCTAAGCTGGGGCCACTTAGTGAGAGGTATAGAGCACGCCAATGCCAGATGCTGCTTATATGAGAGATTTTAGGAAAGTCTGAAGCCTGAGACAAGACAAACCATTTTTATAGAGAAGGCTCTGGAACCATCTTGGCCGGACCTGGAAGTTGGGTGGGGTATGTCCTGAGAGAATCACCAGGATGTGACAAATGGTGTCAGCCAGGTTGATGGAGACTCAGATAAGTGCCTACCTGCCAGCTCTGTGGGATGTAGGTCTCATCAAAGGAACAATGGTCCCTGTGAGCACTTTGTCTGGGAGAAATCTGCCTCCTACCCCTGAGCTCTTGCCCTGATGCCAGACAATTCAGTTCCTCCCCACATGTCTCCGATGCCCTTTCAACTGCTTACTCAGTGCTGGAGCTCAGAGGGAGTGACCCTGAGTAAGTTCATGTGTGGGCCCTTTAAGATGAACTGCCTAGGACTTTAGTCACTTCTGTCTCACTGAGCCTCAATCCCTGCTGGTTTTCACATTCAGAAGTTGTGGGGACTTTTCCTGGCACTGGAACATTGGCTGAGGCACCTGGTGTGGGCTGGGACTCTTCACTTTTCACCCGGGACCTCTGCAGCTGAAACATCCCTCCAGATTTTTATCCTCCACTTGTGGGTGTGGGACTATCTCTTCCTGTGTCTCCACCTCTCCTACCAGGGTTGATGTGGCTTCTTTATGTCCTACTTGTATCACTCCAGTGAGGGGCCTGCAGGAGGCAACTGAACGCTCTCTCTCTCTCATCGATGTTTCTATCTCTCTATTCCTCTCCCTCCCTCTCTCTAAAATCAATAAAAACATTTAAAAAAAAAGTAGATAACAAAACTTCCTGCAGCATAGGAGCCTATTTTAACAAAAGTGGATATATAGGTATGTATTTTCACTTAAAAGTCTGAAAATAATAGATACTAAAATGCTCACAATGGGTATCTCTGTATGGTAATATTATTTTTTATTTATACCTTTAGTTTTAATGTTATGTGTTTGTGAAATCTGCTTTTACTTTTTCAGCCTTTTTGTATGGAAAACTTCAAACGCTTGCAGAATACCATTATCCAGCTTATTAAACTATGGTCAATCTTATTTCACCTATTAATTCCATTTTCTTTTACTATCTAAATATTTTACAATAAAATTTTATCTTATAATTAAAAAAATAAAAACAAACTTTTATCTTCATAGGTAATTTTTGGAATATCTACAATACTTAAAATTTTGAAGAAAAATAAAATAAAATTTATAATTTATATTTGTGCCAAAATAAATCACAAATGCATGAGATTCAAACATGTTTTTAAGAAGAAACAATGAATAGTAGAGAAAATATAAGCAACTTACTTGGAATCCAAAGTTAGTAGGCTAAATAAAATGCAACAACATTAACTACTATAATATATTACAACTTAAATGTGAAAAACTAGAAAAAGGTTTTGTTTTGACAGAATATAAACTATATTTAAAGGATAAATGAGCAAAAGATATATAAACAGGCAAGTCCCCCAAAAAAGAAATGGCCAATATATATATAAGAAAAAAGTACTCTGCCTAGTAATTGAAGACACACAAATAAAATAGCAGATTATTTTTCTCCTAAGAAATTAATAGAGAAGATAGGGGAAGGCAATAACTCTCATAAACTCTTGGAAATGTAAATTGGAAAAACCTTTCTTGAGAACAGTTGACAATCCATACAAAATCATTAGAATTTGGAATGCCTCTGACCTAAAAATTACACTTATAGAAATACATCATGGCTATGCATAAAGATGTAGCTAAAAATGTATTTATCATGGTACTGTTTATAATAGTGAAAAGTAAAACACAATCAACATGCCCCCAAACAGAGGACTGCTCTAATTTTAAGATTTTGGTTTATCTGTGCAATGGAATGTTGTTATATAGGTTTTAAAATTATGTGGAATAATACTTAATGACATATAAACATATATTTGACATATTAAGTAAAAATGAAATAGATTAAAAACAAATGTTAACTTTATTTGAGTGTGTTGAGATTATGGCTGCTATTTATTTATTTATTTACTTAGTTTGTCTGTTTTGTCATAAGATAAGAGCTATTTTAAAAATAGTAATTGGCTTAAAACAGCAACTTGGAAAATATATGCTGCAATTCTTTCCTTCTTTTTTTGCCTTAGTTTTTTCTAATGATATAACATTATACAGATATACAGTTAAAATTCTCTGACAAAAAAGCACGCTGTCAAATAATAAAAGCTAAGGAAGTAGGTGGGAACATGTGAATTAGATGTTGACCTGAAGTAAGTGGTAAACTAAAAAGACAGCTATTATTATTGAAAACTTAGTGCAAAGAGACCTCTTTTTGTTTTATTATAGTTTTAAAGTTGAATGTATTAATATAGTATATGCATATTTGGCAATGATGTTTGTGCTACTATGGTTTTAAGAATTAGAATTATTACTGAGGGAATTAAAAATAGGTACAACTGTACCTAAATTCATTTTTTTTTGTTGTTCTGGAAAAATTAGCTATATAAGAAAACTAAGGTACTGAAAATTAATGAGAGATGTTGATTATAGCAGACATGTGTTCATTTCTATGTCCTTATCATTAAAAAAATATTTATAGGTATCAAAATGAAAATTTGCTGCTCTGAAAAGCGTTGGTAATAATAAATTGTGACTGTTTAGGAGACCAAGAAATTATAGAAAAAATTTTATTAAAATTATCTCTAGCATCCTTTTCTTATTGCCTTAAAACATTCGTATTTTATCTCTTATACCCAAATTCCTTAGTGTGATAAGAGTTGTATTTAACTGATTAAATCAGGTCAATCTGCTTAATCTGAGTTTGATCCTAGATTATTGCTTTTTTGGTAACTTTTTGTTTTTATTTGTTTATTTAAGATTATATTTGGGAATTTAAATATCTTTTCGTTCAGCGCAATTACATCCTAGAAAACCTAGAATTGCATACAACACCTTGGTCATCCTGTGAGTGCCTGTTTGATGATGATATAAGGGTTATTACATTTAAAACAAAATTTCAAAAATGCTTGTCCTCTTTTGTGAAGATGTCAGATTTAGCAACACACCTGGAGGAAAAGTGTTCAGGTAAGATTTTTACATACATAAGATATTGCTAGTTTTAATGCAAGCAAAGAATCTATCTATCTTTTTTGGGAAAATAAAGTTAAATATAAGAGTGAAATATAGGCCTTTATTCACTATTGAACCAGATATTGGCATCTTAGCTTTTTGCTTACAATCTTTGAGGTTAATTTATAACTATTGGGGATCACTTAAAATTTTCTGTGTATAGTTACTAAACAGGGGACTTAAATTCATCATTTAATTCAACCTACTTATTTTTAAAAATATATATATTTTATTGATTTTTTACAGAGAGGAAAGGGAGGGATAGAGAGCTAGAAACATCGATGAAAGAGAGACATTGATCAGCTGCCTCTTGCACACCCCCTACTGGGGATGCGCCCGCAACCAATGTATATGCCCTTGACCAGAATCTAACCTGGGACCTTAAAATCCTCAGACCGATGCTCTATCCACTGAGCCAACCGGTTTCGGCTCAACCTGCTTTTTAACACTAGAGATTAGTTTGAGTTTTCTATGATTTGATATACTATACATGGAATCATACAGTATATACATTGTTTTATTTGGCATCTTTAACTTAGCCACTTATTTTGAAATGTATTTGTGCTGTTGTGCAAATCATTAATTTATTCCTTTGTATTTTATTGCATGAATATATAAATTTTTTTTTTCATCTATTCACCTGTTGATGGACATTTGAGTTATCTTTAGTTCTTGGCTGTTATAAATAAAGCTTCTATAAACATTCATGTATAAAGCATTATATGGACACAATTTTTCTTTTCTCTCATGAGTAAATACCTAGGAGTTGAATAGCTAGATTTTATGGTATATGTTTAACTTTTTAAAAAATTGCCATACTATTTTGAATATGGTTATACTAACTGTATTGGTATTATCTGATATTGCTAATTTGTGTCTTCTTGATTTTCCTTTATCACCAATTTGGCTAGAGGTTTATCAATTTTATTGATCTCAAATTGATTTCCCCCCATTTTTCTGTTTTCTATTTCATTGATTTCTGGTCTGATCTTTATTATTTCCTTTCTTTTGCTTTCATAGATTTCACTTTTTCTAATTTATTAAGTATAAAATGAGTTTATTGAAATGAGACTTCCTTTTTTTCTGGTGTAGGTGTGCAGTGCCATTAGTTTCTCTCTAAGTACAGCTTCTGAGTTCTTTATCCAGTGCCCTATGGATGATAAGATTTTCCACTCTAGTTAGTGGGGAAATGCATTTCTCCCAGCTTTTTCCAAGATGCAGGGATTGTTCCTAACATCCTCTCTTATGGTTCTTTCCTTGGCCTCTGGTCACATGTACTGGTAAATACTCAGTTCAATCCTTCCAGGGGACCTTCTGTAGTACTCTAGAACTCTCTCTGTTTGTAACTCTCATCTGTCTAGTACCCTGTCCCAAGAACTCTAGCTGAATTAGCCATCCAGACTCGGAGTTTGGTCTCCTTTCAACTCCAGGAAACCATCAGGCTCTGTCTGAGTTCCCCTTACCTGCACCGCAGCCAGTAAATCCTTTTGTCTGTAAACGAGCAGTCACTGAGCACACTTCTTTTGCTTCTCATCTCTTAAGGATCACTGTCCTTTGCTGCTTGATAGCCAAGGTCTTGAGAATTGTTCCCTACATTTTGTTTGGTTTTTAATTGTTTAAAGTGTCCAAACTATTTTTATACACAATACTTCTGACACCAAATGTATGGATTTTATTTTTCCATACCAACAACCAGTTCTCCAACTCTCTGGACACCAAATGGATGACCTACAATTTAATTATGACACTACCTATCTGAAATTAGTGTCAGACTCCACAGTTCTAAGAGCTCATCTCTGTAAGACTGTACTCTTTTCAGATGCCACTTGCAAGTAGTAGGACCTGGATACCCAAACCTCTGTGTCATATCCTGGACTTATTCTGACTTGGCTATGTTACTGGATCTTGAATGCCATGTTCTTGAATATCAATGTCATAGAAATGAGCACTGAACTCAGTACAAGATTAAGCAAACAGAGTTTATTGAAAAGAGCTTCTATATAAGAGAGTTCACCAGAAGAGAGAAGTCGAGCTCCCAGAGGGTTTATTGTGGATGGCTTATGTACAGGTTGTGGGATGGTTGTAGGGCTTGGAAATGAAAATGAGGTCAGGTGTCACACGATCATCATTGGTAGTGGTTGATCCCAGGTGGTCAAAAGGTGTTTTTCATAGTCAGTGAACCATTCTAAGGGCCTGTAAAATAATGATTGTGCAGACATTATAGTTATCATTTAACGGACAAAAATTATTTTACAGAACATGATGTTAAGAAAGGATGTTATCAGAAACCAAGATGGTGGCAGAGGTAAACACCTGAACTGCTGCCTCGCACAACAATTTTAAAACTACAACTAAAAGACAAAATGGACATCATCCAGAACCACAGGAAGGCTGGCTGAGTGGAAATTCTACAACTAGAAGGAAAGAGAAAAGCACACGGAGACTCAGAGGAGCCGCAGAAGTGCAGAGGTACGGAGGTGCGTGTATGGAAAGGGCTGGAAACTGAGTATGCGGCTGCCTTTTCCAAGCAGGAGGGAGACACAAGCTCCCAACTGCTCTGAACTCTAGTTCCAGGCAAGACTCTACAGATCCAGACACATATGGGGACACACTGGACTGTCTGGCAGCAGGCGAAACTCAAGGGCGGCTTTCTCTCAGAGGGCTTATAGTGATTACTGAGAGACACTGAGACCTGGGGCCTCTTTGGACAGGGCTGATGGGAAGCCATTGCTGTTTGCTCTGCCCTGAGACTCTGCCCCACCCAAGCTGAGCACAGAGGCTTTTGTATATGAATGGCCTTGGTCCTTTTTCATATCCTTGAGGGTCTCACTGAATTTATTAGTCTTTTCTAGAAGATCCTTGAAAAACCTCATAACCTTGGTTTTAAACAGTAATTTGCTTTCCTCCATTTCTTTCAGTTGTGACCTGTTTCTTTGTCTCCACATTTTGGTTGCTTCCCTGTGTTGATAGAGTTGCTTTGTGTGCTAGGTGTCCTAAAGGGCTCAGTGGCTCAGCCTCCCCAGTTACCTGAGGTAGACTCTCCTGTGCACCCCTTTGTGGGCTGTGTGCACAGTCTTTTTGTAGTTAAGCCTTGATTGTTGTTGGTTTCACTGGGAGGAATTGACCTCCAGTCCGATTGGCTGTGAGAATCAGCTGTGTCTACGATGGGAGAACTTCTGTGCTGGAGACACCCTTATGGGGCAAGACTTGCTTCAGTGGGGCCTTGGTGCTTACTGAGTATGTCCCCTGAGTGTGTCCCTTATGTATCTGAGGATTTGTAATCTGAATGGTCCTACTCTGACCACTGGGTGCACTGGCTCTGGGATCTCCAAGGAGGTGCAAATTTAGCCTCTTCCTGAGGCCACCCAGCAGGAGCTATGGAGAGATCTGCAGAATCCTTTTCTTTGGGGTTTGGAGGTGCCCAGATGAGGCCCAGCTGTGGATCAATGCAAGCTACTATGGAGCATTGGGTCTTCTTTTGGAAGTTCTGGGGCTCTCTGACCCAGCTGCAGTTTGTTAGGTAATTTCAGATTGCAAAGGGCCAGGCCATTCATATGCAAAAACCTCTGGGCACAGCTGGGGTGGGGTTGTAAATTGGGTGGGGCGGAGCAAACGGAAATGGCTGACCTTCAGCCCTGCCTTAATAGGCCCCCTGGGTCTCAGTGTCCCTCTGAGAGAAGGCTGCCCTCGTGTTCCGGCCTGATAACTGATAGTCCAGTTTCTCCCTGTATGAGTCTGGGTTCCCAGAGTCCCACCCGGAACTGGAGTTCAGAGCAGTCAGGAGCTTGCGTCTCCCTCCTGAATGAAAAAGACAGCCGCATCCCCAGTTGCCAGCCCTTTCCTCACGTGTGCCTCTGTACCTCTGCACTTTACTTCCGCACCTCCTCTGAGTCTCAGTGTGCTTTTCTGTTTTCTTCTAGTTGTAGAATTTCCACTCAGCCAGCCTTCCTGTGGTTCTGGATGATGTCCGTTTTGTCTTTTAGTTGTAGTTTTGAAGTGGTTGTGCAAGGCAGCAAGTTCAGATGTTTACCTATGTTGCCATCTTGGTTTCTCAGATAACAAAGTTTTAGAAAAAAATACGCCACTAAGAAAGAAAACTACAGGCCAATAACCCTAATGAACACAGATGATAATATCCTTAACAAAATATTAGCAAATCATATGTAGCAATGTATTAAAAAGCTCATACACCATAACCAAGTGGGATTTATTCCAGGGATACAAGGCTGGTACAATACCTATAAATCAATAAATGTGAAACATTATATAACAAATTGAAAGATGAAAATCACATGATCATATTAATAGATGCAGAAAAAGCATTTGACAAAATCCAGGACCCTTTTTTGATAAAAATATCAATAAAATAGGAAAAAAGGGATCATACTGCAACATAATAGAGGCCATTTATGACAAACCTAGAGCCAACATAATATTCAATGGACAAAAACTAAAACCATTTCCCTTAAGAATAGGAGCAAGACAAGAATGTCCACTTTTTAAATTTTTATTGATTTTTTACAGAGAGGAAGGGAGAGAGATAGAGAGCTAGAAACATTGATGAGGAAGAATCATCGACCAGCTGCCTCCTGCACACCCCCCACCAGGGATGTGCCCGCAACCAAGGTACATGTCCTTGACCAGAATCGAACCCGGGACTTTTCAGTCTGCGGACCAACGCTCTATCCACTGAGCCAAACCGGTCTTGGCAAGAATGTCCACTTTTACCACTCTCATTCAACATAGTACTGGAAGTCCTAGCTACAGTAATCAGAAGAAGAAATAAAAGGCATCAAAATTGTAAAGGAGAAAGTAAAACTGTCATTATTCACAGATGACATGATATTGTACATATAATTAAAATTTAAAATAGAAAGACTCCACTAGGAAACTACTATACTTAAATGAATTCAGCAATGTAGCAGAATACAATATCAACACCTAGAAATTGATGACATTTTCATACACTAATAATGATCCACAGATCTCTAGCAGGGTCGCCTAAGACCATCAGAAAACACAGATATTTACATTACAATTCATAACAGTAGCAAAATTACCACTTCAAAACTACAACTAAAATTACAGTTATGAAGTAGCAACGAAAATAATTTTATGGTTGGGGGTAACCACAACATGAGGAACTGTGTTAAAGGGTCGCGGCATTAGAAAGGTTGAGAGCCACTGCTTTAAAGATATGAAGAAAAAATTCTTTTAAAAACCATTTTTTAATCAAGAAAACTTTTTTAAATAAAAACTTTCCTTTTTTAAGACTTAACCAGAAAAGGGAATAGAATAGTAGAATGATGAGTTCATAGCATGTACTACCTGATAAAAGGATGAAGAATAAATGCTTTAAAAAGAATTTAAATAGAATATGGAGAGGAAGGGAGAAGAATGCTCATATAAACTCATAGACCTCACTAGTATATAATAAGGCAAAGATAAATGAGATAAAAGAATGTCTGGAAGATAATAGATACTCGGGCTTCTTTTTGTTGTTTTTTTTTTTGTTTTTTGTTTTTGTTTTTGTTTTTTAACAGGTGAATGCATGAGCTAGTGAGTAGTGAACGAACATGCTTGAGGTTCCTGGTGAGTCACACAGTTAGAAATGAGGACAGTCAGTGCTCATGTGGATAAATAACCAACTCCCAGAGTGTGGGTGATGATGGGCAGGAAATCGAAAAAGAAAAAGAGGATAAGCTAACGATGTCTTGTTTTTGGATAAAATATAGAATAGAAGAATAATTTACCTCTTATTTGTCTTTTTAAAAAAAATATATATATTTTATTGATTTTTTTACAGAGAGGAAGAGAAAGGGATAGAGAATTAGAACCATCGATCAGCTGCCTCCTGCACATCCCCAATTGGGGATGTGCCCGCAATCAAGGTACATGCCCTTGACAGGAATCGAACCTGGGACCTTTCAGTCCACAGGCCGACGCTCTATCCACTGAGCCAAACCGGTTTCGGCTACCTCTTATTTGTCTTTTGAGGATGATTAATTAAAAAGACAGAGGGCAGGGAGAGAAGGTATGGTAGCTAGTTTGAAGGGATTTCTTCTAAGAGAGATTAAACTTATTTTGCATGATTCCAGAAGTCAAGGAGAAAGAAAACATCCATCTCTTCAGCCAAATTAGCCAAATAAACATTCACTCTAAGTTGCAGGCAGAGCACCCCTTACATTCTAGGGTCAATACTAAACCCATACAGGAACAAGACAAGATTGTCCACTTTCACCACTCTTATTCAACATAGTACTAGAAGTCTTAGCCACAGTGATCAGACAAAAAGAAAAAAAAAAAAAATCAGGCATCCAAACTGGAAAGGAGGTTGTAAAACTGTCATTATTTGCAGATGACATGATATTCTACATAGAAAACCCTAAAGACTCCAACAAAAAAACTACTAGATTTAATAAATGAATTTGGCAATGTAGCTGGATACAAAATAAACACTCAGAAATTGTTGGCATTTTTATATACCAATAATGAACTCTCAAAAAGAAAAACTAAACAAACAGTCCCATTTACCATTGCAACAACAACAACAACAAAATTAAGATACTTAGGAATAAACCTAACCAAGGAGGTAAAAGATTTGTACTTGGAAAACTATAGAATGTTTAAAAAAGAGCTAGAAGAAGATATAAGTGGAATATACCATCTTATGGATTGCTAGTGTTGTATCATAAATCAGCGAGTTAGATATGAGACACCTTAATGAGCCAACTAATTAAGAGTCTTATTGCGCGTGGGTTCAGAGCAGATTATCTCTGTCAAATTCTGAACCAAAAACACGAAGAAAGCTTTCTCTATTTATATGCTTCCAGTTCTTTGTCTCCCAAATATGGTTTTTCCGGACCTCCTGCTGACTTTACAAAAAGCTTTGTATAAGTTAATTTTTAAAAACTTAAATGTAAGTTGTGAAACTATAAAAATCCTAGAAGAAACTGTAGGCAGCAAAATCTCAGACATTTCACATAGCAGAATTTTCACTGATACAAGGCCTAGTGCAACAAAGGAAAAAAATAAACAAGTGGGACGACATAAAATAAAAAGAAAAGAAAGCGGCATCAAAATGAAAGGGAACCCATTGTATAGGAGAACATATTTTCCAATGATACTTCTGATTAAGGGGTTAATTTCCAAAATATATAAAGTACTCATATAATCCAATAAAAGGAAGAGAAACAATCCAATTAAAAAATATGCAGACATCCTAAATAGAAACTTCCCCAAAGAGGATATACAAATGGCCAAGAGACATATGAAAAAATGCTCAAAAATCACTAATCATCAGAGACATACAAATTAAAATGACATCTGCCAAATAAATAATAAATCAACAAATGACAAGTGCTGGCGAGAATGTGGAGAAAACAACCCTACTACACTGCTGGTGGGAATGTAGACTGGTGCAGCCACTATGAAAAACAGTATGGAGTTTTCTCAAAAATTAAGAATAGAACTCCCTTCTTTAAAATTTTATTTATTTTTTAAAAATTTATTTATTGATTAAGGTATTACATGTGTCCTTATCTCCTCATTACCCCTAACCCCCCCACTCATGTCCCCACCCCCCTGTTGTCTGTGTCCATTGGTTAGGCTTATATGCATGCACACAAGTCCTTTGGTTGATCTCTCCCCCTGATCCCCACCATCCCCTACCTTCCCTCTGAGGTTTACTATTTGATCGATGCTTTTCTGTCTCTGGATCTGTTTTTGTTCATCAGTTTATGTTGTTCATTATATTACATAAATGAGTGAGATCATGTGATATTTATCTTTCTCTGACTGGCTTATTTCATTTAGCATAATGCTCTCCAGTAACATCCATGTTGTTGCAAATGTTAAGAATTCCTTCTATTTTACTGAAAAAAAAAAAATTCCCATTTGACTCAGCAATACCACTTCTAAGAATAAATCCTAAGAAGCCTGAAACATTGTTCAGAAAGAATGTATGCGCCCCTATTTCCTTAGCAGCACAATTTACAATAGCTAAGATGTGTAAACAGCCCAGGTGCCCATCAGCAGATGAGTGGATAAAAAAAAAGCTGTTGTACATTTACACTATGCATCTGTAAAAAGGAAGGGTCTCTTACCCTTTGAGGTAGCCTGGAGGCATCTGGAGAGTATTGTGCTAAGTAAAATAAACCAGTCAGAGAAAGACAAATATCACATGATCTCACATATCTGGAATCTAAGTAACAAAACAAACTGATGAATAAAATAGAGCCAGAGACATGGAGGCATGCAACAGGTAGAGAATTCTCAGAGAAAGGGGGTGGGAGGGAAGAGATTAACCAAAGAACTTATATACATAAATGGACATAGATGATAGTGCGGTGAAGTCCTGGGGAGGGAGCAGGAGTGGGGGTAAGGGGCTTCATGTGGGTGGGAAGGACACTTCTGTAATAATTTCAGCAATAAAGATAAATTAAAAAAAAAATAATGAAGCCGCCGAAACTGGTTTGGCTCAGTGGTAGAGCTTCGGTCTGCAAACTGAAAGGTCCCGGGTTCAATTCCAGCCAGGGGCATGTACGTTGGCTGTGGGCACATCCCCGGTATTGGGTGTGCAAGAGGCAGCTGGTCGATGTTTCTCTCTCATCGACATTTCTAGCTCTCTATCTCTCTCCTTTCCTCTCTGTAAGAAAATCAATAAAATATATATATAAAAAATAATGAAGCCATAAGTGAGTCAGATTATCTAGGAAAAGAGTGAAAAATAGAAGACCAAGAACCAGATCTTGGGTGTAACTTACAAGTAAATCAAAGACATAATTGTAAATGTTTGTAAATGATAATTTTGTCCTATAATTTATCACTTTGTTTTTGTTTTTGTTTTTGTAGGAGTGATTCTAGTCAAAGCCCAGATTTTAGAGCTAGTGTTTCACGCTGCAACAGCCCAAAAAATAGTTATAAATGCTCACAGTTCTCTGAAGAGCATTTTCTCTTCCCTTCCCAACATCACGTATACTGGCTGTGCAAAGTGTGGACTGGAACTAGAAACAGATGAGAACAAGATCTACAAACAGTGTTTTAGCTGTTTGCCATGTACTACAAAGAAAATATACTACAGGTAAGGCAACTAAGCCAATCAGATGGAAGACATTTATTTATTTATTTACTTATTTATTTAAAAAATATATATTTTATTGATTTTTTACAGAGAGGAAGGTAGAGAGATAGTTAGAAACATCGATGAAAGAGAGTCATCGATCAGCTGCCTCTTGCACACCCCCCACTGGGGATGTGCCCGCAACCAAGGTACATGCCCTTGACCGGAATCAAACCTTGGACCCTTCAATCCACAGGCCGATCCTCTATCCACTGAGTCAAACCAGTTTCGGCAAGACATTTATTTTTATAGGCTTGGAAATGAGCAATAAATTACATATATCAACTCTTACTTTCTAATGAGAACTAATTAGAGCTAATACAAGAGTACAAAATTTCCCAAGTGATAAATAGCTATTTTTGAAAGCAAATATTGCCCAGTAATCATAACAGGATTTCTAAAAGCGGTAATTGGGAAATTTTATTGTCTTGAAGAAACTATTCCAATTTCTTACTTGGTTTACACTTTTAACCAAGATCTCTGTGTAGAAGCTCAGTCACCCACCTTAACGAATTATCAAAATGTAAAGGTATTATATGATCTAACCTTTGAGTTGTGGGATCTAGTAAGGCGTTTAATCTTCTGGACTTCAGTTTTCACAACTTCATATTAGAAAATATGGATCCCAAATGTTCTATGGTAAAATGACTAACCAACTCAATGAAAAACACATTGTTTTTCAAATAATAAAAGTCAATTCTTGCAAAATCTTTTTATTTTTGCCTTATAAGTTACATGCCTTTACAAAATAGCAGTGTCTATTTTAGACCCTTTTCATTCCCCCTCCCTCAAAGCCCCATGCCTATTAGTAGTTGCTTCTCATTCCCCTTCCACACAAATCAGCTTTTGGATCATTCCCACTTTTTGTCTGTTATAAATAACACTTGTATGGACATTCATGTACAAATTATTGTGTGGATATATGTTTTCATTTCTTTAGGATATACTCAGGAATAGAATTGTGGGATTATATGGTAACTCTTTGTTTAACCTTTTGAGGAACTGCCAAACTATTTTTCAAAGTTACTGCACAATTTTACATTTTCACCAGTTATGTATGAAGGTTATAGTTTCTCCACATCCTTTCCAGCACTATGTATGAATATCCCTTTCTTTAAAAGTACATAGAGTATATGATTCATATTGTTCATGTTATTTGTTTCTTAGAGTAAGTATATCATGGCTTGTCTTCTCTGATAGCGCTTATAAATCTTCCTCATTCTTTTTGTGTGTTTTTTAATCCTTACCTGAGGATATTTTTATTTATTTTTTATTTATTTATTTATTTTAAAATATATCTTATTGGTTTTTTACAGAGGGGAAGGGAGAGGGATAGAGAGTTAGAAACATCAATGAGAGAGAAACTTTGATCAGCTGCCTCCTGCACACCCCTTCCTGGGGATGTGCCCACAAACAAGGTACATACCCTTGATCAGAATCGAACCTGGAACCTTTCAGTCCACAGGGCGACGCTCTATCCACTGAGCCAAACCGGTTTTGGCTCTTTTTTTCTTCCTTTTCTTTTTGTAATCCTCACTGGAGGTTATTTTTCTATTGATTTTTCAAGAAAGTGGAAGTTGGAGGGGTGGGGGGGAGATAAACATTGATGTGAGAGAGACACATCTCTTGGTGCCTCCTGCACAAACCCTGACTGGGTCCCAGGATAGAGCCTGCAACTGAGGTATGTACCCTTGACTGGAATCGAACCCAGTAATCTTCAGTCAATGGGCCAACGCTTTATCCTGTGAGCCAAACTGGCCAGGGCCCAAGGGTATTTTTCCATTGCTTTTTCTGGGTCTAGGGAACCTGCAATCGAGGTATGTACCCTTGAATGGGGAATAGAACCCGACCCTTTGGCCAGTGGGCCAATGCTCTAACCACAGAGAAAACTGACCAGGGCTTCCTCATTTTTTTTATTGCCATGTAGTATGTCATTGCATCATGTACTGAAAATTATTTATCTACTTTCCTATTTAGTTACATGCCAAAGACTTTGTTTCTGATAGGAAAAAAAATCCAATATTTTTACTGGGGATGTGCCTGCAACCAAGGTACATGCCCTTGACCGGAATCGAACCCGGGACCTTTCAGTCTGCAGGCCGCTGCTCTATCCACTGAGCCAAACCGGTTTTGGCTAATCTTTTTAATTCAGACAATGTTTTCTTTATTTCTAGTTGATCCCTTTTCATATCCTCATAGGTCTCGTTTATTTTATCTGCCTTTTCTAAGAAATTCTTGAAAAACCTTATAAGCGTGGTTTTGAACTCTATATCCAGTCACTTTTTGTCCTTCATTTCTTTTGTTTGTGATCTGTTTTCTTGTCTCGGCATTTTCGCTGCTTCCCTGAGTTGGTAGGGTGGCTTTGTGTGTTGAGGTGTCCTATATGGTTCAGTGGGTCAGCCTCCCAGTTATCTGAGGTGGACACTCTTGGTGCACCCCTTTGTGGACTGTGTATACAGCCTTTTGTAGTTAAGTCTTAACTGTTGGTATCACTGGGAGGAACTGACCTCCAGGCCAATTGGCTGTGAGGATCAGTTGTGTCTATGCCGGAAGATAGCCTTATTCAAAAGCCTCTGTGCTCAGCTTGAATGAGGTGGAGTTTCAGGGTGGAGCCTACAGCCTTGGCCCCCTGTCAGCCCCGCTCTATGAGGTTCCTGAGTCTCAGTGTTCCTCAGTGTCCTTTGGTACTTGCTGCAAGCATCACCTTTTGTAGGCCTTGCATTTCGCCCACTACTGGACAGTCTAGTCTTTCCCCCAATGAACCCGGAATTGGGGTTCAGTGCAGTTGGAAATGGGGTTCAGTGCGGTCTGGAGCTTTTGTCTCCTTCCTGCTAGGGCAATCCAGTGGCACAGTCAACAGTTAGTCCTCTGAGTGCAATGTGTGCAACTCCAGGGCTCTGCCTTTTGCTGCTCTCCTTAGTTTCCACCTTACAGCCCAGATTCCCTCTGTATGAGCTTGGGTCCCTAGGGTCTGGTTTAGAACTGGGGTTCAGTACAATCGGAACTGGGGCTCAGCACAGTCCGGAGCTTTTGTCTCCTTCCCTCTGGGGCAATCCAGTGGCACAGTCAACAGTCAGTCCTCTGAGCGCAATGTGCGTGACTCCGGGGCTCTGCCTTTCGCCGCTCCCCTGAGTTTCCGCCTTACAACCTAGAATCCCTCTGTATGAGCCTGGTTCCCCAGGCTCTCGCCCAGAACTGGGGTTCAGTGCAGTCGGAACTGGGGCTCAGCACAGTCCGGAGATTTTGTCTCCTTCCCGCTAGGGAACACATCCAGGCACTCAGCCGCCCTCCTCTCCGGCTCCGTCCTCTCCCCACATGTGCACCGTGTCTCTGTACCTTAGGCTTTTACAGCTCCTCTGGTTTTCCTTCTGGTTTTCTCTTTCCTTCTCGTTGTAGAATTTCCAGTCAGTCAACTTTTCTGTAGTTCTGTATAATGTCCACTTTATATTTTAGATGTATTTTAAAAAATATATATTTTATTGATTTTCTTATAGAGAGGAAGGGAGAGAGATAGAGAGCTAGAAACATCGATGAGAGAGAAATATCAACCAGCTGCCTCTTGCACACCCCCTACCCGGAATGTGCCCGCAACCAATGTACATGCCCTTGACCAGAATCGAACCTGGGACCCTTCAGTCCGCAGGCCTACGCTCTACCGCTGAGCCAAACCAGTTTTGGCTTTAGTTGTATTTTTTGAAATTGTTGTGTGGGGCTGCAGTTAGGCGTTTACCTATGCAGCCATCTTGGTTTTCCCAGCACCTTTATTTTTATTTTAAAAAAATAATTTACACAGCAATGTAGAATTGTTTTCTTACATTAGAATCTGAAGTTATAAAATGAATATGGAATAAATGAAATTGATTATTTGAAACTTTTTTAAAAGCCCTTCTTTTGCCTGGCCTGCATAGCTCAGGGGTTGAGCATCAACCAGGAGGTCAGGGTTTGATTCCTGGTCAGGCACATGCTCTGGTTGCAGGCTCAATCCTAGTGTAAGGAATGTAGGAGGCATCAAATCAATGGTTCTCTCTCATCATTGATGTTTTGTCTCTCTCCCTCTCTCTTCCTCTTTGAAATCAATAAACTATATTAAAAAAATAAAAATAATAAAAATGCTTCTCTTCTTTCTAGGATGTTTCAGAACATCCTAGAGTTGCTTTAGAAATTAAAATTAACCCTACATAAAAACTCAGGGCTTTTTGAAATTATATTGCATTTATACATTTTTTAAAATGTGAAAATCTTTTGAAGGTCATATGCTATTTCCTCTTTTGTAGGCCAGCTTTAATGACCATAGCTGATGGACTATATAAGGTCTGCGTTCATGTAGGATCAAAGCTGATGGAGAAGATTCTTCTCAACATTTCTCCTGACTGGCTCAGCAGAGTTATAGGTAAGGTGTCCCCATGCCATGTTCAGATTCACCCATGTCAGGAGTGTAGAGTATGTGTAAGGCAAAACTTGCTCGACACAGGTCTCAGCACATGAATAGAAGGAAGCCAGCACCTAATCTCTTATTGCTCAAGTTGTCAGTTGGTAAGCAAAATCACTAGGATCTTAGTTTATTTATTTATTTATTTATTAAAAAAAATCTTTATTCAGATTATTACAGATATTCTCTCCTCTCCCCCCACCCCACGCCCCCATAGCTCTTCTCCACCTGGTTCCCACCCTGCCCTAGGCCTCCTCTCTCTCCTCCCTCCCCCCTGCCCACTGACCTTGTCCATAGGTGTAAGCTTTGTCCAATCTCTTCCCACACTCCCTTCTCCCCAAGAATTGTCAGTCTGCTCCCTCTGTTCATCAGGTTTTTTATTCATTTGATTTTGAGGTTCACTTGTTGATAGATGTGTATTTGTTGTCACTTTGTTGTTCATAATTTTTCATCTTTACCTTTTTCTTCTTTCTCAGAGAATACCCTTCAGATTTCATATAATGCTGGTTTGGTGGTGATGAACTTCTTTAGCTTTTTCTTGTCTGTGAAGCTCTTTGTCTGACTTTCAATTATGAATTATAGCTTTGCTGGGTAGAGTAATCTTGGTTGGAGGTTCTTGCTATTCATCACTTTGTATATTTCTTGCCACTCTCTTCTGGCCTGCATAGTTTGTTGAGAAATCAGCTGACAGTTGTATGGGTACTTTCTTGTACTTAACTGTTTTTCTCTTGCTGCTTTTAAGAGTCTCTCTTTGTCTTTTGCCCTTGGCATTTTAATTATGATGTGTGGTCCTCTTTGGATTCCTTTTGTTTGGGGTACTGTGTGCTTCCTGGACTTATAAGTCTATTTCTTTCACCAGGTAGGGGAAGTTTTCTGTCATTATTTCTTCAAATAGGTTTTCAGTATCTTGCTCTCTCTCTTCTGGCATCCCCATTATTTGGATGTTGGTACGCTTGAAGTTGTCCCAGAAACTCCTTATACTATCTTCATATTTTTTGCTTCTTTTTTTTTTTTTTAAAGTTAGGTGTTTTTTACTTCTTTGTATTTCAAATCTTTGACTTGATTATTGGTACCCTGTTTTCCCGAATATAAGACAGTGTCTTATATTAATTTTTGCTCCCAAAGATGTGCTAGGTCTTATTTTCAGGGGATGTCTTATTTTTCCATGAAGAAGAATATGGTACACATTTATTGTTAAATGAAAATAAAGGAAATTTATTACCTATATATGGTATGGTAGTACGGTAGTTGTCAACACAAACCAGACAAACTGTGAATCCTACAGTATCAAGAATTTACTCATTTATTCAATGACAATCATGTCATCATCTTCTGGAACATCATCATAACAATCCAATTCCTGAATTTCCTGTAACTCCATTTCTTTCAGAATCAGTGGACCAAATCTCTCATGTTTAGCAATAGCACTGTCTTTAAATGAGTACTTCTTGTCAAGGTAGCCTGCTCGCAGTGCATTTGCAATGCAACTGTCAGTGATTTTCTCCTATGAATTCTTCACCCAAGTCACAACTTCTTGCAATTTAGGTTTCACAAAGTTTCAACGCTGATTTCTCTCCATTCTATTTTCAATGTAGTCATTAATTTCCATGCGCAAATTGTCTTTGAATGGCTTGTTTATTGCAATATCAAGAGTCTGGAGATAGGCCTGTCATTCCTGTGGGAATCATTATCTGATCTATTTTTTTTTCCGTGAAGAAATGTCTTCATGTCTTTAGCTCCGTGAGTGCTGGCTGCATCCCAGACTAGCAGACCTCTTTGGCTCCCTCGCATAACAAGCGGCAGCATTAAATCGACCCACTTCCTTATAACAGCTTGTGTGGCCCAGGCTTTTTCAGTTTCAAGAATAAAAACACCCAAAACACGTTCAATCTTTTCCTTCTTGCCCTTAGAAATGATTAAAGGTGGGATTTTAGTGCCATCCAGTTGAATTGCCAAAATACAGGAAACACGTGCACTTTCATAAGCAGTGGAGGGAATGCACACTAAGGAGGCACCCCGCTGTTCAATTGTTGTTTGAGATGATTGGCCCATAAACACTGCAGTTTCATCCATAGCAATCATGTTGGAAAGATTGTATTTAGAGAAGTCAGCATCATCAATAAAAGACTTGAATGCAAGTGCTCGCTTAATAACTTGAGTATCTTCCAACCTAAACAATGTTGTACCGGTAGATCTCCTTAAAGACAGTTCACTTCGCTGAAGGAAATTATCCAGCCAGTGTTGTGATGCTTTGAAGTCTTCGGGGGCTATGTCAAACTGTGGTGCCATTGCAAGGGCAAATTCTTGAATCTGAGCCAAGAAAAAGACAAGAAAAAGCTAAAGACAACCTAAGCCTCTGCTCTCCTGTCAACAACCCATTCACAGATCAGGTCTTCCAGCTCGGAAAATAATGGTTGCCGACCTGATCCACACTTTGCTTTTTAGTATTTCCCTTGTCCACTTGTTCAATGAGGTTACCATACTCTGCTCGCCATTTTCAGACCAATCGGATACTCACATTTTCTCTTTGCAGAAAGCAGTAAGATTTCGGCCCCAAGAGTCTTCCACGATTCCTTTCTTGTACTCCACGAAGTAGCTTTTTCTTTTTGCGCTCATTTCTAAGGGTAAAAAAAAGGAATTGGGGTATCAAGTTGAGGGGAGGGGGATCACTTAAAATGACACAGGGGGGATCAGAGGGGGGAATCAAAATGGCACAGGAAAATCAGAGGGGGGGATTATGATTTTAGCAACTCCTTTTGATCCTCCTTTGTCATTTTGATTGCCCCCTCTGATCCTTCTGTGTCATTTTAAGTGATCCCCCTCTCCCCACCCCTGTGCCACTGAACACCTTCACCAGACATCCCCCCTACCCCTTTATCAGACATTTACCCCCTGGGGCCTGCCTGGGGACTGTCACTGGGCTTGCTGGGGCCTGGATCTGGGCTGGAGCAGGGTCTGCCACTGACTGAGAACCTTCAGTCATCATGAGGGCGGCCGCAAGCATCAGGTAGTGTCACCAGAGACAGACCAGCACTCACCACCTTCACCGCATCCCGTCTGCTCTAATCCTCCTGTTCTTCTACATGCATCTGCGAAAGTCTCCTCCTCTCTCCCGCCCCACACTCACCGCTCACTCTGACCTCCACTTCGCCTCCACACAGCAGTGACGTCAGGACTCTGAGTAATGGCACTGGTTGCTAGACGCCAGTTGGGGTGGCCCTAGCGACCAGTTTACAGTAAATTTATTTTTCATTCTGAGACAGAGCCGGGGGGGGGGGGCTTATTTTTTGGGGAGATGCCTTATATTTCACTCAGAAGGAAACCTGTAAGTAGGTCTTATTTTTGGAGGATGTTTTATTTTCGGGGAAACACAGTATCCTCTCGTCTGCTGTTGAATATCTGTATATGATTCTTAATTTCAGTCAGTCTATGCTTAATTTCTTATTGGTCCTTTTTCATATCCTTGAGGGTCTCACTAAATTTCTCAGAGGTTTCTATGAAGATTATTGAATAACCTGATAACTGTGGTTTTGAACTCTATATCCAATATTTTGTTTTCACCCATTTCTTTCATTTGTGACTTGTTTCTTTGTCTCCGCATTTTGGCTGCTTCTCTGTGTTTATTTCTATGTACTGGGTAACTGCTAAGTCTCCTTGAGATGATAGAGTGGCCTTGTATGTTAGGTGTCCTATAGGGCCCCATGACTCAGTCTCCCCAGTCACCTGAGGTGGATGCTCTTGGTGCACCCCTTTGTGGGCTTGTTGCAGTCTTGTAGTTAACCTTGATTGCTGTAGGTATCACTGGGAGGAATTGACCTTCAGGCCAGTTGGCTGTGATGACCAGCTGTGTCTACGCTGGAAGGTCTGTTGTGCAGGAGACACCCTTATGGGGCAGGGCTTGCTTCAGTGAGTCTTTGGTGCTCACTGAATCTGCCTCTTGATTGTGTCTCTTATGGATGTGAAGAGTTGTAATCCAGTATATTCTCATTCTGACCACTGGGTACCTGGCTCTTGGATCTCCAAGGATGTGCAAGGTCAGCCACTGTCTAGGGCCACCCTGCAGGAGCAACAGAGACATCTGCAGATTCCTCCTCTTTGTATGGGGTTTGGAGGTGCCCAGATGAGGCCCAGCTGTGAAGCAAGGCCAGCTGCTGCTGCCGGGCCTTGTGCCTTCTTTTGGAATCTCTGGGGCTCTCTGATCCAGCTGTAGTTTGGCAGGTTTTAGGTGGAGAAAGGACAGGCCATTCATATGCAAAAGCTGATATGCACAGCTTGGGTTGGGTCATAAATTGGGTGGAGTGGGGTCTCTGGAAATCACCAGGGTTGGAGCAACCAGCAATGGCTGCCCGTCAGCCCTGAACCAGAAAAGTCCCCACATCCTGTGTCCCAGTGCAGTAACAATGATTGCTGAGAGCACCTCTGAAAGGAAGCCGCCCTGGTGTTCCTGTCCCAATGCCAGACAGTCCAGTTTCTCCCCATATGTGCCTGGGTCCCCCAGGGTTTCACTAGGAACTGGAGTTCAGAGCAAGTGGGAGCTTCTATCTCCCTCCTGGTTAAAAGAGCAGCACGTCCAGGTGCCAGCACTTCCGTGCCTCCACTCCTCTTACCAGTCTCACTGCGTCTTCTTCACCTCTCCAGTTGTGGAACTTCCTCTCAGTCAGCTTTCCCACAGTTCTGGATGGTAGTTGTTCTGCCTTTTAGCTGTAATTTTGATGTGGTTGTGAGAGGCAGCAAGTACAGGTGTTTACCTATGCCGCCATCTTGATTCAGGATCTTAGTTTATTAAAATTTAATTTTATTGAGGTGACATTGTTTAATAACATTATATATATTTCAAGTGTACAGTTTTCTAGTACATCATCTGTATATTGCACTGTGTGCTCACCACCTCTTTAGTTATGATGCTAGGTATAGTCAGTGGCTAACAACGAAGTGAAAATACCCGTTTGCCAGGTGATCCA